GTGAAACACTGGATGCACATTCCACTCTTCTCTCCCCACCTTCCTCCCACCCAAGAGAAAAGCTGTGAGTTGGATGCTTTCTCCTAATCACACTGACCTCAGCCAACCTCCATCTGCAGCTCTGCCAGTTCTCTGGTGCCGCAAAAAGCAGCTGAACTCTCTTTAACTCTCCACAGTCCCCAGGCATTGAAAGCATGCTGGTTCCCATCAGTGGTCAGAGTTAGGCAAGACAGATACCAGTCCCACAGGCAGCTCCCCAAAAGCCAGAACATTGGACACATCCCACTCTTCTCTTCCTCTCCCTGGGGAAAAGCTGCAAGCTGGACTGGCTTAGGGGAAGGGCTATTGTGGTCGATATAAAATGGCTTTCTTAATCTGTTTCAATATGGCTGTTCTTGACTTTGAGCTTGACTTCTTAACTGACTTCTGGACTCTCATTAACGGCTCTTTGGGCCAAATGCTATCATTAAGTCAGTGTCTCTGTGGAAACAAGGACTGGGGCTTCCTGTTATATCTTGCTGATGTCACTTCTGAAGACGTTTTAAAATGTTTATTATTTATCAAGTTTCCCTCTTTTGGTAATTATCTGCTTACAGTTCTTTTCCATTTCCATACTGGAGTGTTTGCCTCTTTCTGATTTGCAAGGAGGCATTTCTATATTTTGCATACTAACCCTTTGTTTGTTTTATAGGTTGCAAAGATCCAAGTCTGGCTAGTCTTTTCCATTTGTTAATATTTTGTTTGTGTTTTTGTTTGTTTGTTTTTAGTTTTTGCTTATTCTCAGCTGAGTTTTAAAAAATCATCAGTGATGTATTTTGGGAGTTTGGTGTAGATCATACATACACAATGCATGCTATTGATTTTTTAAGTCTCCTTTAATAAATATTTAATTCTGTTATTCGAAAGATCCACTATTCATCATTAACCTCAAGGCTAAACTAAAGTCTTTACCTGATGTGTAAATAAATGATTGTAAATGCTCTCCATGCACCTATGGGATTCTTATTACTTTTTAGGTATACTTCATATATCACAAAATGCACCTATTTGAAATGTACAATTCAAACATCTTTAATAAATTACTGAGTTGGAAACCATCATGATCCACTTTTACAACATTTCCATCACCTCAAGATCTTTTGTGCTCATTTGCAGGAAATCCGTGTTCCTACCTCTAGCCCCAGGCAACAACTAATCTACTTTCTGTCTCTTAGATTTGCCTATTGTAGACATTTTATAAAAATGGCATCACAGTGTGTGGTCTTTTGTGACTGGCTTTCACTCAGCATCATGCCTTGAGGTTCACGTGTGTTGCAGCATGCATCAGTAGACTGTCCCTTTCTTATTGAGGAAAAGCACTCTTCTGTATGAACATACCATATCTTGTCTATCCTTTCACGAGTTGATGGATATTCAGGTTGCTTCCACTTTATTACAAATAATACTGCTATGAACATTTGTATACAAGTACTTGTGTGCTTATTAGCCATTTCTGTACATTTTTTGGTGACATGTATTCCAATCGTTTGCCTATTTTTTTAACTGGGTTGTCTTCTAATTACTGAGTTGTTTATATATTCTAGTATGAGCCTTTTATCAGATGTATGATTTGAAATTATTTTCTCACCATCTATGACTTGTCTTTTCATTTTTTAAATGGTGGTAAAACTTTTTGTTTATCCATTCACTTTTTGATGGTCCTTTGGATTTTTCTGGTTTTGAACTATTACAAATAAAGCAGCTAAGAATATTTGTATAGAAATATTTGTGAATACCTATGTTTTCACTTGTCATGAGCAAAACTCAAGAGTGGAAATGGTGTGTCAAATAATGAGTATGTTTAACTTTCTGATAAACTGCCACACTGTTTACCAAAGTAGTTACACCGTTTCACATTCTAGCAAACAGTGCATGAAACATCCAGTAGTTACATATCCTCTCCAATACAAGCTAGTTTGAGTGCTTCAGATCTTAGCCATTTGAGGGAGAGTATACAGTGGCATCACGTTTGTATTTTTCTTTTTATTTGTATTTTGATTTTCTTAATAATGTAAAATTTACCTTGAGTGAAATACACAAATATCAAGTGAACAATTCAATGAGTTTTGACTAATGTGTAAACCCTTGTATCCACTATCACAACCTCATGCCCTCCCCAGGCAATCCTCACTGCCCGTAAGCAACCACAGTTCTGAATATCTATCATGTTAGATTAGTTTTGCCTATGCTTGACCTTACTATAATTGGAATTGTACATTACGTACTCCTGTGTGCCTGGACTTTTCTTAAATTTATGTTTTTTAATTTTAAATTTTTTTTTTTATTTTGAGGAAGATTAGCCCTGAGCTAATATTTGCTGCCAATCCTCTTTTTTCTGAAGAAGACTGGCCCTGAGCTAACATCCGTGCCCATCTTCCTCTACGTTGTATGTGGGATGCCTACCATAGCATGGCTTGACATGCAGTGTGTAGGTCCGCACCCAGGATCCGAACCAGTGAACCTCAGGCCACAGAAGCGGAATGTGTGAACTTCACCACTGCGCCACTAGGCCAGCCCATGCCTGGCTTCTTTTGATCAACAGTACGTGAGATTCATCTGTGGGCACATGTCAGTAGCTCATCCCTCTTTATCGCCCAATAGTATTCCAGTGCATGAACATACCATAAATTGTTTATCCATTTTTCTGTTGAGACACATTTCTGTCATTTCCAGCTTGGGGCCATTATGATTAAAGCGGATGTAAACATTCGTGTAAAAGTCTCTTGTGGATACAAGTTTTCATTTATCTTGGGTAAATACTTAGGAACGATATTCCTGTTTCTTATAAGCATAATCAAACAATTTTCCAAAGTGGTTGTACCATTTTACACTCCAACAGTAACATGTGAAAGTACCCGATGCCCCACAGTCTCACCACATTTGGTGTTGTTACATCTTTTTAATTTTAGTCATTGCAATGGATGTAGAACCACATCTCAGTATGGTTTTAATTTGCATTTCTGATGAGTAACGACACTGAGCAAATTTTCATGTGCTTATTGCCTATTCCTGTATCTTCTTTTGTGAAGTGTCTAATTCTTTTGCCCATTTTTGAGACTTTTGTCTTTTGTTATTAATTACTGAGAGTTCTTTATAGCTTCTGAATTTAAGACTGTTGTCAGATATACGTATTGTGAATATTTTCTCTCAATCTGTGACTAGCTTATTCATGTTACATTTGTATTTCTCTTGTTTAATTTTTTTATTGTGGTAACATATATATAATAGTTATCATTTTAACCATTTGTAAGCCCATCACCACAATCTATACCCAAAACTTTCATCATTCCCAACATAAACTATGTACCATTAAACAATAACTCCATTCCCTCCAGCCCCTGATAACCTCTATTCTGCTTTCTGTCTCTATGAATTTGCCTATTTTAGGTGCCTCATATAAGTGGAATCACACATTTGTTCTTCTCTGTTTGGCTTATTTCACTAAGCATAATGTTTTCAAGGCCCATGCATGTTCTTGCATATGTAAAAATTTTATTCCTTTTTATGGCTAAATAGTACTCTACTGTATTTATATAGCACATTTTGTTTATCCATTCATCTGATTGATGGGCACTTAGCTTGCTTCCACCTTTTGGCTATTGTGAATAATGCTGCTATGAACATTGGTGTACAGATATCTGTTCGAGTCTCCACTTTCAATTCTTTTGAATATACACCTAGGAGTGGAACAGCTGGATCTTATGGTAACTCTGTGCTTAACTTTTTCAGGAACTGCCAAACTGTTTTCCACAGTGGCTGCACCATTTTACATTCTCACCAGCAAGGCACAAGGGTTCTACTTTCTCCAAATCCTTGTTAACATTTCTTATTTTCCATTGTTGTTTGTTGTTTAAATTACAGCCATCCAAGTAGGTGTTATGTGGTATTCCCTTGTGGTTTTGATTTGCATTTCCCTAATAAGTAGTGATGTTCAGCATCTTTTCATGTGCTTATTGGCCAGTTATATATCTTCTTTGGAGAAACGTCTAGTCAATTCTCTTGCCCATTTCTGAATCGAGTTTTTTGCTGTTGAGTTTTAGGAGTCCTTTATATATTCTGGATATTAAACCCTTATCAAATATATGATTTCCAAATGTTTTTACTCATTCAATAGGTTGTCTTTTTCGCTTTCCTGACAGTATCCCATGATTCGTAAAAGTTCTTAATTTTAATGAAGTCCAATTTATCTACTTTTTCTTTGCTGGTTGTGCTATTGGTGTCACATCCAAATAATCACTGCCAAATCCAATGTCATGAAGATTTTCTCCAGTATTTTCATTTAAAAGTTTTATAATTTACTTTAAGGGTCAGACTCAAAGTATTCCTAAAGGCTGAGGGCAAAGACCATTTCTGACAGAGCTTTAATTGGCAATAGCTTTACAAAAAAAAAAAAAAAACACAAAGTGCCTCAATCCCCTAATTCTCTTAGTTAATGATTTGTTAAAAATGAACTGCTCACCAATGAAAACAATTTTGAATTCTTTCACATACTGAAGAAACATTTCGAAATGTGATTAATTGCCTTTTAATTTGTCTGAATCTATTTAGTTTGTTTAGCCTAGATTTTGGAATATAATATTTCCTAAAATAGGTTAATGTGCACATCAAATATGTGTTGCCTTGTAAATATTCCCGTTGCATGTGTGACTGCTGCACACACACGGGGCTGAGCACGTCTTTCTCCTATGTTCTCTACTGTCTATGTAGGGCTTGCTGCTCAATGGATGCTCAAGAGATGGCACGTGATTTACTGCCCTAGGAGAGTTGGGAGAATAGTGAGTAAAAAAAAGGAAGTTTGATAAAACTCACCAATTTGCCATGTATTCCACTAAAATAATCTCTCCACATAGAACATAACTATAACTATGAACATGCATTTCCTGAGAATTATAAAATTTCTCTCAGAACCAAGCTGATACATCTTGAAACTTGAGAAGAAGGATGTTTAGTTTAACACCTACCGTCTTTGAGTGTTAAATCCATTAAGATGATTCTCTCTGAGTTCAGACACTAACGATAAAACCATCTGTAAAACAGAATCAGTTGCAGGTTAACTCACACTGCAAACAGTGTTACATCAGTTCTGTTTCTCTTAGTGTGAGTGATATTTCCGGTGAGATTCCCAACCCTCCCCCACCTGTCCTCTCCTCGTTTTACTTTGTCAAAATGAAAAGAAAGCAGCCAAGTCACATTTACTAATAATTTGGATTATATGTTTAATGTCTGTTATTCCACATGGCTATTTAAGCAAATGAACAATAGAAAATTAATTTTCTAAGAATTAAAACCAAACTCATTAAAAATAAAACCATATTAGAGCTAGTTTATTTTTATTTCTTAATTTAGTTCTTTATTTTTAAAAATGCTATTCATACATAAAGCTTCCAAAAGACTAGAATAGTTAACAAACATTAAAAAATCTCATAACACTTTTTAGAAGAGCTATGTTAAGATCATAAATTAAAATTTCTTCAATTTGGCTAAAATTTAAGGCAGAAGAAAATATAGATTTAATACTAAGATATAAATGTATAATACTATTTACAAGGTTGTTATTTAGTGAATTTTTTTACTTTAACATAAAATTCCTACCTGGTTGTTTTAAATACAAAATTTGTCTAATGTAAAAGGCTGTGTTTACATGGGTTAAGGAAACCTCTTCTCCCAAAAAATCTTTGACAGAATAAAGGAGATTGTTAAGAGACAGAGAGGTTGGTTGATTTAGAATAACCTCTCCTGGTTTCCTTCTTTCTCATAACCTCCCCTCTCACGTTTCTTCCTTACATGGCCATAAGTCCGCCCAAGGTAAGAAGAGATAAACATAGAAAAGTTAAACATCTCTCCTGGAGGAGTGAAATATTTCCATTTACTCTTTTTGCTGACGGTACATTAAGTAACGAAAATTTCAATACTAATAAATTAAAAATACTCACATTTTTAAGCAAACCAGGATAGTAATCTGCAGGTGCATAGCCAAGACCTTGAGTAAAAAGACCAACTTCTCTTATATCAAATCTGAATGCTGAAAGTACATGACATAACAGCCCCTAAAAACACAAACAGAAAAAGAAGAAGTCCTGAAATGTGAATACAAGTGCCTATTATGTATAATGCCTAGAATCTGGGTCATTTGTAAATGGGGTAGTCTCTATGAAACAAGTACTCTTAATTTGTTCAAATACCCGGTTCACTTTGATTCAAGGCATAAAGAAGAAATAAGTTAGCATTAAAATTATTGCATTAAAAATAAGTCCATTTAAACAAATGTTAACAGTGAAACAAAAATATAGAATGAATGAACAGGGCTTTAACCATATTACGAATGTGATCTTTGGGGCCTGCCTGGTGGCACAGCGGTTAAAGTTCACGTGCTCCACTTTGGCGGTCCAGGGTTCACAGGTTTGGAGCTCAGGTACTGACCTACCCACCACTCGTCAAGCCATGCTGTGATGGCATCCCACAGACAAAATAGAAGAAGATGGCACAGATGTTAGCTCACGGCCAATTTTCTTCAGAAAAAAAAAAAAGAATGTGATTTCTGTTTTTAACCTCAGCAAAATATTTTATCAGAGTAGATACGATAATTTAATACATGACAAGGAATGCACCACAAATCACCAGAGAAAGGAAATATTACGCAGTAAGTGGTGCTGGGAAAACGATTTGGAAAAAAATTAGATTCTCACCTTACGTTATTCATCAAAATATACTTGAATTTAATGTAAATTAAAGAGATCAATGTAAAAAATGAAATGAAATAATAAACAAGAAGAAAACATAAGGACTTTTCATTTGTCTGAATGGGGAAGAAGTTTGTAACCTCAAAATCAAGGAAGCAAAGCATTAGTGGTTCTAAATAAAAATAAAACCTTGTGTTTTTCAGAAAATAATATATGCACAACCTAGGAATAATATTAACAACAAATAATACAGATCATATATAACCAAATTAGTGGGCAAAATATCACGTGACAAACACTAAGAGCAAAAAAATGAGTATGAACAGATAATTCAAGGCAGAAAACACAAATGGCCAAGAAACACATGGATAAACGATCATCCTCATAAACAAAATGCAAATTCAAGCATCAACATACCATTTCTCACTTAGTGAATTAAAGACTTCTACAGACACAGATGCCCAGTGCTACTCTGGGCTCTCTGAAACAGGCACTCTGTGTGAACTGTTGAAAGCATATAAATGGGGATCTGTACACAATGCTCTGGTGAGCTGCACAAAGGCACCCACAGAGAGTGTGAGCGGGTGTGACGGGCCAGAACCCACCCCCAAGCTTGGACTGGCAGGGCTACCTCTGCCCAGAGGTGTGTAACTTGACCAAAGACGCCTTACAGGTTGATAGAGGCCTGCATTATAGAAAGCAACTTGAGAATATATATTAAAGATTTTAAAAGCATTCAGAACTTTGAATCTATCTGGCATCCATTTAAGGAAATAAATCCAAATATGACAATGGGAATTATGCTCAAAGATGTTCAATGCAGTGTTTTTCTCATAGTGAAAAATGTCCAACAGTAGGGGATGATTGATTTATGATATCCTCATGCAGTGGTCCGTGGTAAGCCATTAAAATGTTTAGAGTGGGGCTGGCCCTGGGGTGGAGTGGTTAAGTTCCCATGCTCTGCTTCAGCAGCCCAGGGTTCGCAGGTTCAGATCCCAGGTACTGACCTAGCATCACTCATCAAGCCACACTGTGGCAGCATACCACATAAAATAGAGGAAGACTGGCACAGATGTTAGCTCAGGGCCAACCTTCCTGACAAAAAAATAATAAAATAAAATGTTTATGGGGCCAGCCCAGTGGTGTAGTGGTTAAGTTCAAGCTAGCCTGGGGTTCATGGGTTCAGATCCCAGGCATGGACCTACACACTGCTCATTAAACCATGCTGTGGCAGCATCCCACATAAAATAGAGGAAGATTGGCACAGATGTTAGCTCAGCAACAGTCTTCCTCAAGCAGAAAGAGGAAGACTGGCAACAGATGTTAGCTCAGGGCCAATCTTCCTCACCAAAATAAATAAATAAATAGTTTATAAAGAATTTATGATAGCATTTTAAATGGTTATATTATAATATTAAATGAAGAAAGGAAGATGCAAAATTTCATATACAGAAACAATCTCATCAATATAAAAATAATCCATACATGGGAATGAAAAAATAATGGAAGAAAATATCATCAATTGTTAACAGTCTCTAGGGTGCTATTATAAGTATATATTTTTTCTTCTTTAGTGCATTTTCCAGTTTCCTATATGTGTATGTACTACTTATTTTTTTTTTAGGAAGATTAGCCCTGAGCTAACTCCTGCCAATCCTCCTCTTTTTGCTGAGGAACACTAGCCCCGAGCTAACATCCATGCCCATCTTCCTCTACTTTATATGTGGGATGCCTACCACAGCATGGCTTGCCACTTAGTACCACGTCCACACCTGGGATCCGAACTGGCAAACCCTGGGCTGCCAAAGCTGAACGTGCGCACTTAACCGCTGAGCCACCGGGCCGGTCCCTGTACTACTTTTATTACGTGGAAAAAATATTCACTTTTTGAAAAAGTATGGTATTTTGAAATATTTTATCTTTCAACAACAGCTTTATTGAGATATAATTTATATACCATAAAATTCACCCCTCTAAAGTATACAACTTAGTGGTTTTTAGTATATTCAGAGAAATAGTCATTTTATATGTTTTTAAAAAGCCCTCCACTGGACTTTGTGAATCTGCACTATGGGACAGAACGAATCCGTACATGTGCATATAAATGCATGTGTGAGCTCAGGCACAAACACTCTGAGACGGCGGTCTCCCCTAGGGAAGACGTGGTGTCACCGCGGTCAAAGGCAGGCCCTGCTAGGTCAGGACAGCAAACACGCGCCAGTAACACCCAGGGCAGATGTTACAAAGCATCATGGTACTCATTTCAATTTTACCATAAACTAGTTTACATATTCAAAATATAGAAAATAAAATGACAAATTTTGCCCATCTTCAAACTTAATAAAGCATCAGAAACACCAAGGAAGCCTCTGTGCCATCTCTCCCCTTCTCCACCACAATTCTATAGCAGTCCCCCTCCACCAGGGAAAACTCGACCGGCTCTGGCGTACACCCTTCTGTGGAGATCACGGTGCTCTCTCCCTGTGGCTCAGACTTGCCTCAGTATCCTCGGAACAGAACTCGACAAGTAACACAGGCTGAAACCTGCTGTCCCTGCATGAGATCCCAACCACTGTTTCAAATTAGAAAAGTTCATAGCAAGTGAACACAGTAGCTTTGAGACACTAAGTAGAAGACATTCATGATTTTAAAAAGTCCCGGCAACATATGTAATGTAATTTACAAAAATGAATCTTTGGGGGGGCGGAATGGGAAATTTGCTGAGTTGAAGTGAACTTTTTGTAAGGTATAAGAGAATCAAAAAGCTTCTTACTAGAGTGAAGAAAAGGCTGGATGGAAGCCACTTGCATATCATTTGACTGTTTTCCTTTCAGTTCAAAGCTGTCTTTATAAATACAGAAAGCCAACAGGAGCTGACAACAGCCCCAGGAGTTCATCTCCCAGTTATTTTCAAACACCAAGTGCAATCTGGGTGAGAGCAAGCCACTGTGGTCAGGCCGGCAAACCCAGGGGAGGTAAATCACAGCCAATGCACATCCCTCGGGGGTGGTGTTCACCTCGGATTCTGCTTAGTGCACCACAACCTCTCAGCAAACAGCAGGACCTGACACTGCGTGCGGTGCGATGCAGGTGTGCTGCTGCTGCTGCAGGAAGCCCAGCCACGCCTGGCCAGCCATACGCCACATCCACGTGGAAGTACCCACACTAGACCAGACAGGGGCAAGGAGGAGGCCGGGCTTAGTTTGGAAACTATGCAGCCAAGGGGTCAGAGGCAGGGGCAGTTTTTCACTGACGAGGTCAGATTGATGCTAGATGGAGAGAGAGTTGAACTGGAGAGGCTTAACCTTCTGCCACCAGGCTTTTGGCATTCTATTTAACAAACACTTAAAACACTTATATGCTGGGAGCTGTTCTAAGTGTTTTACAAACAGTAATTCATCTAATTCCCCAAAACCTATAGGGTAAGTGCTATTATTGAATGTATTATAGATGAGGACACTGAGACAACAGAAGTTATGTAATAAGCCCAAAACTGGTTACCTAGTCTATGACCAAACCTTATAAGGAACCTCCCTGTATCCTTTCTCCAGGAGGCAGCTGGAATAGTTCTTTAACATAACAATGCAAATCTGATTAGTCCTCAGCTTAAGACCCTTTATGGCTCTCAAGCACTCTTAGGGTGAAGCCCAAAGCAATGAAGCCTGGCCCCATCAGTTTTACAGCCCCTGCCTGGGACTGATTTCCCTCACCAGCTTGTTTGGGGCCCCAGAAGGCCCCTCAGGACTTCAGCTTGTCCTAGCTCCTTGGCCAGGAAAGCTCTCCTAGCCCCTTCACTTGGTTAAGTGAGGGAATTCTAACAATTATGACAACTAAAGCTTACTGAGTGCTTGCCATGTGTGAAGCACTTTGCTAAATTCTCTAAGTATGGCATCTCACTTAAAATCCCAAGAATTCAGTTTATAATAAAATTCAGCTATGCAAAGTTTCAATCAAGCCACTATAAACAGGTGGCTACTATCATTATAATTCACAGAATTGGCCCTTAAAAAATTAAAGCATAAAGTATTACAGACCCAGTTGGGATAAAAAGCAATGTAGTGTACCTAGAAAAGAAGGAAACTGGTTTCAAGGAGTAGCAGTTAAGGGTCAGTCAAGATTTAAATTCTTAAGACAAACCATGCCAAGGCTTTGCCCCTGCACTCCAGTGCCTCCAGAAGCACTCGTGCCCCGGCCTGCGATCAGTGCGTGAGGCACGGCTTCCCAAACCTGCATGAGTCATCTTGGCACCTGAGCCAATGAAAGTTAAAAAAACATCCAGGACACTCAGTAGATTCAGAGGGTGTAAACAGGGATTGTAAATAACTCCTGAGCAAGGTTTAAAATAGCCATAAACAGTTCCCTAGATA